CCTATAAACAATATATTACAGCACAGCCGTTCGTAAAGTAAATTTAGGTGAAGATTCATTAAATGGATTGGTTTGTTCGAAGTTGCATTTCAACATCGAAAATGCATAAAAAAAGGTATTTAACCAGGGCGTGAAATTAACTTTTTTATAGGAGCCACTAGGCTTCTTTATTGATATTTCAAAGTGGTAGCCACGGCAACAAAACGAGTTTATTCACCTAAATGATTCGAGCTATCAAAGGGGGGCCCTAGAATGAATCCACTTGAAAACCAATATGGCGTTCACTGACAGATTTTCCTAGTGTAGCATGTGCCAGATTTGCATGCCATTCGTGGCAACAGACATTGAATTTCAGTTTCACGTCCTTTTATCTCGCAATTTTGACCCAAATTCTTGTTAAGCCAGGGCTTAAAGGCTTAATGGCAGCTACGCCACTGCTCACTTTACTAAACTCTATGTAGATGACTAAAGTGAGACATTAGACGACCCGGCTCAGTTCTTGTGGACAACTCTTTAGAGATATAAACCTAGCCTTGCTGGTTACTGCACGGTTTGCCGCTGCGTTGGATTTCAATGCTTTAACATGAGTAATGTGCTTGCGTTTTGCATCAGGAATAGAAGAATAGTCTTGGTTATCTTTGGCTGGGCAGTGGAGTGGTCGCGAGGCAGCAGTCTGTGTGTGATGCAAAATGACAAAGGGTAAAAAAAAAAAAAAATAGTAATGATAATAATAATGAGAATAATAATGATGATGATGATAATAATAATAATAATAATAATAATAATAATAATAATAATAATAATAATAATAATAATAATAATAATAACCGAACGTGAGATAGATCACCGTAGGCCTGACATAACTGACCATGTTAAGAACTGACAAAAAAGTCCTCATTATAGACATTGCGGTACCTAGAGACAGCAGCGTTGAAGGCAAGGAGAGAGAAGGGGAATGTCTAGACTTTGGAGGGCGAAGACAAAAGTAATATCAGTCGTTGTGGGAGCACTAGGAATGATGCCGAAGAACTTAAGGGGTCACTTAAAGGAAACTGAAATTTCAAATAGGGTCAGAACTTTGTAAGTCGGCATTTCTTGGAACGTCCACCATATTGTTGTTTCCAGAACAATGAACACCTGTGCGAATTAGAAATAATAATACTAATACTACTACTACTACTAATAGTAATAATTAATAATAATAATAATAATAACAATCAAAATAACGCACATGGAAAGGCGACTGCAATCTTTTAGTACTGTTAGTAGCTTACTTTTGATTGTTGCTCATTACCGAGCAACATCAAAAACGTCCCGACTTTAAATATATTCAAGCGTGTGATCAAACCATTTTTAAGGGTCAGACAAGATACAACCTAAATACCTTAACACCTCATATCTATATTTTTCTCTAAGCACACTTATATACTTAAAATACACGTCTTTTTTCTTTATTTTTAAATGCCGCCTAGTATTTAAAAATCTCTATTCCTCATAAGCTTTGCTTCTCGGAGATTTCCCCGCCACAGTCACTCCGTCCAAGTTGTATGCTCATTTTAAATTTAGTATATTAATTAACTATTTATTATCTTTTCTATTCTACTTGTAATTTATTCTGTGGCAAAATAATAAAATAAAATAAATAAATAATACTTTTAATTACCCAACGATTGACTAATGCCTATGCAAAAATAAATCAAGCAGCAATGAGTGGGATATTCACGGTATATCACAAGAAGACGTTAAATAACTAATTTATCTCATACCACTCATCACGGCCACGTTAAATAAATACATAAGCATAAGGGGTTAACTTAAAGAAAGTCAATATCTGAGTGGTAAACATTAACTATCTTCGGGCACGCCACCACCGCCCAAACATATAGATATGTATTAAAAATGGATTCCAGGCCGTCTGTTTAATTTTGATAGTCTCGTTTCGCAGCCGCTTGGGCCGGAGAAGACTACCTGATTGACTGTATCGCAAAAAGTGTAGGGGTATAGGTACACCGCAAAAACTTACATTTAGCTTTGGTACTTTGGCACCTTTGTGAGTTGTAGGTGTACTATTCTCTCCCTGTTCACGTTGCCTCTTTCTGTTTTGCATTTTATTCACAGTGATTCATGGTCAGCTTGCTTGCTCCTTTAGGACTTTTACAGCTAGGGCTTAAAAGGAAAAAATAACTGGCCACGTTTCTGAATATAATCACTTTATGCCAATGACTCTTCCGCGGTTTTTTCAACTTTTGACACGGAGCAATTAGCGAAAATACGTCGGCACCAATAACAAGAACGCCTTAACACAGTGTAAAATTGCAAAGTTTGAAAGTGATACGTTCTAAGCGAGCGAAGATATTAATAGCTCCGCAAAGTTGCTAAAGTTCAGACGTTTGTATGGTGGGGCCCACCCGACTTTGGGGAGCTCTATCTTCGTACGTTTTCAACAAATCACTTTCAAACTTAACAATTTTATTAATTTAAAAGCATTCTTTTCAGCGGAGTTGAGGGATTTTTCCTAATTTGTCCATGCCATAAGATAAAAAAATAATAATAAAATAAAAAATAACAATAATAATAATCCGAGGAAAGGTCTATTGCTCCGCCATGAGTGAAGTGAACTCACTGAAGTAAAGACTGTTTTTTCGTATGTCGGAAAATTCCCAGACGATCGGAGATTTTTCTTTTTCTCGACCATCCCAGATTTTGCCCATATACCGGATAATCGCCAGAAGACTGTCCCAGATTCTCCCTATTATGAACTTGGCGGGAAATGGAAAGTGTGCAAAAAATTGAGTCTTGAACAAAAATGTAACAGCATTTATACAGCAACATTGATGCACACGAGCTTGTGCTGCGTCGTTCTCAATAGACGANGGTTTTTTCAACTTTTGACACGGAGCAATTAGCGAAAATACGTCGGCACCAATAACAAGAACGCCTTAACACAGTGTAAAATTGCAAAGTTTGAAAGTGATACGTTCTAAGCGAGCGAAGATATTAATAGCTCCGCAAAGTTGCTAAAGTTCAGACGTTTGTATGGTGGGGCCCACCCGACTTTGGGGAGCTCTATCTTCGTACGTTTTCAACAAATCACTTTCAAACTTAACAATTTTATTAATTTAAAAGCATTCTTTTCAGCGGAGTTGAGGGATTTTTCCTAATTTGTCCATGCCATAAGATAAAAAAATAATAATAAAATAAAAAATAACAATAATAATAATCCGAGGAAAGGTCTATTGCTCCGCCATGAGTGAAGTGAACTCACTGAAGTAAAGACTGTTTTTTCGTATGTCGGAAAATTCCCAGACGATCGGAGATTTTTCTTTTTCTCGACCATCCCAGATTTTGCCCATATACCGGATAATCGCCAGAAGACTGTCCCAGATTCTCCCTATTATGAACTTGGCGGGAAATGGAAAGTGTGCAAAAAATTGAGTCTTGAACAAAAATGTAACAGCATTTATACAGCAACATTGATGCACACGAGCTTGTGCTGCGTCGTTCTCAATAGACGATCGGGGATTTTACTTTTTCTCGACCATCCCAGATTCTGCCTATATATCGGATAATCGCCAGAAGACTCTCCCAGATTCTCCCTATATTATGAACTTGGCGGGAAATGGAAAGTGTGCAAAAAATTGAGTCTTGAACAAAAATGTAACAGCATTTATACAGCAACATTGATGCACACGAGCTTATGCTGCGTCGTTCGCAATACATGTATGTTCTTGCTCTCGTCAATGCAGGCTTTTCCATTCTGAAAAAGCAGAGGCCAACTAAAAATATCATATCATTCCTCTTCCTTCTTGGGCAAGAGATTCGAGATAGCAATGACTCGAATTTTCGAGAAACACCATGTTTATTTGTGTTTATTTACGATAGGGGGACTGGAGCCCAACAAATAGGAGATTGGTAATGTCCGAAATCCATCGCCGACGTCCCAGATGGAAAAATGTGAGTTTCATTTGTCGGGAATGATCGCCAACTATCGCAGAAATCTGGGACGCATCAGGAAAATGGGAACGCTCTCGATTCTCCAGATTTGTGCCCCTCTATCCCAGACGATCGGGAATATCTACAATTTCTAGTTTTCATTAGTCGGCAAAATCTGGGACAGTCGGGAAACAGTAAAATCCCTGATTGTCTGGTATTTTCCCGACATATAAAAACTAGGCTAAGGAAAAAGAGTAAGTGAAGAAGTAGCGCTTTGAATAGAGTAAATTAATCAGTTTTCTTTTGGCTGAAGCAGCTGAGCTCACTCTCTGGGAAGGAGTTTCCTTTTTTCCCTATATTATCACTTTTTTGTTTTTACATAACAACATCAGATAAATTGCTTCAAATCAATAACAGTATCAAAATGAGGTAAGTTCTTGACACTGTGGCTTTCGAACTTAATTTTTTTGCTATCCATACTCGCAAGGTTAAGTACATACACCCTTTTCTAAGCTTTTCCTGAAATGCTAAAGCAAGCTGGGAACCAGGAATTTAAAAACACTACCCACAATACCAGAAGGGGTTAACCTTTCTCGAGTAGCTTTTTTACATTGTTCAGATGTCGTCAGGGTTTTTAAAAAAGTTGGTCGTAATTACCCCTTCTGATTCATTTTAGTTGACAAAGCCTTTAATTTATTCCCTGGGTAGGTTGTAGCCAGCGAACAGGCTCCCCTTTTAACCGGAGAGAAAAAACAAAATCGGTGAGCAAAGAAGCAAGCCAAGCGTAGCTTGGGGGAGAAAAAAGGCGGGGGAGCCTTTAGACTTTGTTTGTATCATGATCTGTTGGGTCAGATCGTTGACTGTTGATAAGTGAGTGATGAATGTTGACCAAAAATACCCTGTCGATTTATTAGTGTTTAATGCAAATTTCCTTTGGTGGAATACAATCTTCATTTTTAAACAAAGCTATTGTCTACATTTGAGGGATCTTAATAGTCGATATACGATGGATGCTTAATATTTACATATAATTGATTAATCCACAAAACTGCCTATACAGTCCATGTCTAAATTGCTTGAAGTTCAATAGGTTGGTCCCGCCTTACTGGATACGAAGTGTTTTTGCAGAAAACCTCCTTCAAAGGTCTCCTGAATTCTGGCAATCTAATTGCGTAGATCACTGGATTAAAGATAGAATTAAGGTGATAAAATGTTGATGCTATCTTCATAGGTGTGAACTTACTCCATAAGTAACGGTCTGAACTTATCGAGATACAAATAATTATTACCCAGGGAAGAAGAGTAAGTATAGAGGCAGCACTAACTATGAATAAAGTTACTGAAAGTTTTCTTTCTGCTGACATAACTGACCCTAACTGCTGGACATGAGGTCTTCTAATAAATTTTGAAATTATTATAACGTAAGATGTTGTTAGCACTGCAAGGGTAAGAGCAACATAAATTATCCAGGGGTATCGATCTGCGAGGGCCGAATCATTCATGCGAATGATGTGTTGAACACATGCTAGAGTCAAAGCTCCCAACCAACTAAAAATGATAATCGTATAGTGAATTCGTTTTTCAACTAAACAATAATGCCTAAATGGGTATAGTGTTACGTGTAATCGCTCTAAAGAAATTAAAACTAGGTTACCCAGTGAAGCTATCCAACACATGTCAGAGATTATTAAATGTAAAGCTCTGAGGCCATGTTCCGGTCTTTTCTCTGTTTTAAGAACCCAAAGGGCTTCAGGTCCTGAAATGCCTGCTATCAGTAGATCAGCTACAGTCAGGTTTATTATCAGGTACGTACTGCGCTTGCGCAGCTGGAGAGTTCTTGCAAAGATAATGAGAGTGAAGGCGTTGATTATAAACATCAGAAGAAACTCAGTAAGCCACACTCCAAACCAGATGTTTTTTGTCGCATTAGTCGACATCGTTGAGTTCAATTTGTTGCGATTGTTGTTGTTGTTTTATTTTCTTGGTTTTTGAATAGGATCTGGAGTAATAAAAGAAAACGGAACAAAGTACGAAGCAAATCAAAATAAAACTAACAACAACAGCAACACAGTGACAACAGAAAAGCAAAGATTCCAAGGTATCTACCCTCTCGAAGCGTAGGATATGTTGGTATTGATGATACTCTTCTGAGAAAGAGTCCAAGCTCCGATCAATCAAAGCTCTGAAGCCATGTTTCGATCTTTTTACTGTTTTTAAGAAATTGTAAGTCCGAGGGTTAAAAAACAGAATAAGACGACAGCGTGAACAACATAAAAGCAAAGATTTCAAATGCTCTGCCCCTTTGAAGCGTAGGGGATATGTTGGTATTAATGATATACTCTACTGTGAAAGTGATTCATGAGGACGCCCTTAGGGTATAGTTTTTAAATACAAACCCGCTAGGTGCACCTGTACCATAATGACTAAAGTTAAAGCGATGTTTTAAAGCTACTACATATATATAGACGTTCATAGACTGTACTTAATAGATGTTTTACTTTCTTTAATAGGACTGCACATGATTCCTCAATCTAGACATGATCAAATATGAGCCCATAACTTACCTTTAACGACTAAACCATACCCCAAGGATTATGTGTATACTGTGAGGGCTCTTAGTTATTCTCTCCGTGAGAAAACTACCTCTTGCGAAGATAAATTTACAGCTGTATTTTATATGGCAAAAAGCCTGGAAAAAGAAAAAAATGTTCATGAACTTACACACTGTTCTCTGTTAAGGTGGGATAATCACTAGAAACAGTCTGTTGTAATTCCTCTTTATCAAGACAATTTCATACGGACCGTGTACTCAAAGCAGAAAAACTTTGGAACAGCGCGTCGATAAAAATTGCCTTAATTAGCAGATTAGCCCCTGAGTTCCAGGTTGAAGTCTTCGAAGTTTGTGACATTACTGCCACTGCCGATTGTCTAGACCAATGGTAGTAAATATGGTAATAAGCGTTGTTAGTTTCTTGTTTCTGTAGTTATATTGCTCGTGCTAAGTAGAAGATGTTCAATTATTTGTACAATCATTTTCCGTATTATGCAGACTTGAACTTTCTGGAAGGTTTTGATGCTTAGCTCTTGAGGGGATTATTGTTAAAGATTTCTAACTATGACAAAGGGAAAATTTCTGTTGTCTAGAGTTCAAACGCATATAAATTTATTTCCTTTGGTCTTTGAAAATTCTTTGAGCACTTCCTCTTGGGAGGTTTAATTTACAGCTGCCTTTTGTCATTTCGTTTGATGTCAAAACAAAATAAATAAAAAAAAGAAAGAAAAACACTGAAAATATTAAACTTTTTCAATCACTTACATTTTACTTCTCTTTGTAAAGGTGTGAATGATATAAGTCACTAAAAACATTCTGTAATACTTTTCAGTCCATGAGTCATGAAGCCTTCTCACCAACTCGAGCCACGAAAAACTACACATCCGGCAAGGACCTCGATAATAGCGGAGCTCTCGCGAGCGGAGCGCGCCAGCCGAGCACCATGGGTAAGAAAATGAAGTAATCACGTGACCGTACAACGACCGCCCGAGCGACCGTCCGTCCACACGGAAGGCATACCAATGTAAAATAACTCAATCAACAGGTATGGCAACCCAAATGCAACTCGAGGTTATTTTGGCGGGAAATCGCATAACTACCGGCGTCTTGTAAAGTAGAGACAGAGTCAATAAAGAAGAAAATGGAAAGCGGAAATTGTTTCTGTATCCGTGTTGTCTAAAGTATTCAGTTTAGATTCATTTTCCAGCATGTCTACAAATTTGGAATATAGAGCAGGAGAAAGACAGAGAAAAAAAGAAAGTCAGGCTGCAGGCCAGCGAGGCTCAACGGGAAAAAGGGCGAGAGAGAGCTAGAGCGAGAGAGGTAAAACGAAGGAGACATTATTTTTTTTTTTGTTGGAAGAACAAGATCAAAATTTTGTAGCGTCGGTGACAAAATAAGAAAAGCTAGCGGCCATCAATGCAATATGAAAATGAGCGGCAATAAAAAAAAGTGAACGAGAACACGTACGACATTTCTTCCATAAAACGTGCAACTATTAAAGAAGTTTCTGGAAGTTTCACGTTGTCTCATGCAAAACAACGGCAAAGAAATGTACAAAATAAGTGAGCTGCACGTGCAAAGTTGCTTTCTTTTGCTAATTAGACCTATTATTGTTTTTCACCGTTCTTCAGCGTTGCCTTCGCCGCTTAGCATTACACGATTTTATACTTTGCTGGAACTAACTATAAATGTTATCGAGAGCTTCGCTTTTAGCCGTGGCTAAATCTATATATTATGAACATCAATCAGCTCGTTTAGATGAGCGCATTTAAAAGATTGACACTCTACCAATCATTTAAAATGGTATTGAATATGGTAAAAAACCTCTGTTCTATCCTTCCTGTGTAAGTTACACGTTTCGAATTATATTAGCAGTTGGTTAACCCATATGTTTCTTGTTTGTTCGTTTTGTGTGTGTGATTGTGTGTGTGTGTTTTGAAAACTATCGTTAATCACGCAAAAGTAATTATATAATGAAAAGAGTAATATAAAGAGTACCCCTTAATAATAAGAAAGCCAAAAAATAGGAGAATTACCATTTTCGATTCATTGCAAAAAGACCAGAAAGGGTTCTTTTTTGGCTTCAAATGATTATTACACTCTTTGGAACTAAAGCGATGAGCAATAAGCGATGGGCGGGCGGGATAAGGTAATAACATGTCAGTGGCACAGCTATCCATACTCATTAAGCCCGGGCTTAACAAAAATTTGTGTTAAAATGAGCTCATGTACGTGCACGTGACAGGGAGTGATTAAACCAAATGACGAGGCTTCGCTCTGTTACTTAAATCGCGCCGACGACATGACCGTTCTTATGTGTGAACAGGAGCCCTGTCCGCTGTGGTTTTCGTGCAGGTGCAAGAGCTATCCGTTATGGCTTGAACACTGAATCTGTCGCAGAGAGCCTTCTTGTATAAGTAGATACGTTGCAGGGGTCCCATTTGTTTACTTTGATTGCATGTGAGAGTTATAAACGCTTAACATTTGTAAAATTGCCAAGTTTGAAAGTGATACGGTCCTAAGCGAGCGACGATATATCTCTGCAAAGTTGCGAAAATTCAGAAGTTTGTATGGTGGGGCCCACGCGACTTTAAGGAGTTCAACCAATCACTTTCAAAGTCAGCAATTTTACTATTTAAAGGCATTTTTTTAGCGGAATTTACGGATTTTTCCTTATTTGTCCATGCCATAAGATGAAAAAAAAAAAAAAAAAAAATTCCTTGGAACGGTCTATTGTTGCGCTTGTGATGAGATATGATACCAACGGAGTGATGTGAACTCACAAAAGTAAGGAAAATTAAGAATTTGTTCTTGCTTAGCGTGCGTATATCGAGTTATGGATGCACGCGGGAAGTTTGGAGAGCACGAAAGATGCGTAAGAGTTGCACCAGGCGATAGCCGAGTGCAACTCTGGTTTCTTGAGTGCTGTCCAAACTTCCCAAGTGCATCCATAACTCGGTACACGCACAGCTAAAAGCATGAGCAAATTCTTTTATAACATAGCTCACAATAATGCTTACTTTTTGATTAACTGCAAAATTCTCGTAACGCGCGACACGATAACAAACGGTTCTATTGGCTGATTACGAACACGCCGCAATCGTCTAGTTTGAATGAAAATATTCTTTCTGTAAAAGTGAGAAAGAAAATTTGCTTCTTTATTCGTTAACGATCAATGGAAACTAAGCAGAAACAAAGGTAAAAGAGTCCTAAAGTTCACCTAAAGTTAAACTAACATGTTCATAAGAAGTCGTAGAGTATGGTTTGGATTTGCTGAAAAGATGTTTACGTTTTGCTTGGCGAAATCCAGAAAACATGTTTTTAGCTTACGAACATTGGCTGGTCATTACGGCTTCTTGAGAAGACCTGGCAGCAGTTGTTTTTGTGAGTAATAAATTTATGTCTTCTTGTGTAATTTATGTTGTTATTGCGATAGAAATTTTCCTGCTTCAGTCGGATTGTCCAGAGATAACAAAGTGCACAACAAATTTAAAAACAACAATAAAAACGAAAATTTTGCCTTTAAGTGTTGTTGATGACCAGTTGGTGTCTGTTCTGTTCCCAGTGAATGTCTTTCGGCCAAAATTTGCTGCAGCTGGTCTTCGACAAATTTGCGAACAGCGCGCAACTTGCGAGTTTTTTTTTAATTCGGCTTTATTTTTGCTGCTTGTTGGATCAGGACCTAAAAGGTCAATGCCGTTAGAAAACTTGGGCAGTTCTTCGCTGGTTTCTTCCATATTTTAAAGAGAAGGAAAAGTGCACTACAGCTTGAAAGACGACAACTTTGCAGCCCGGTAAAAAAAAAAAATGCTCACGTCATCTTATTTACGCACGGGCGTGCGTAGATAAAGATTTTGTTCATAGCGGCTCAATAGGACTTATATAGGGTAAGCACGCGCGCTATGTTATAAAGAACAGTGGCGAATCCTGGGGAGGGGCCTGGGGGGCCGCTCCCTCCTTTATTTTTAGACCAAACAACTGAGGCCTGAAGGGCTCCCTTCCCCCCTTATCTCAGGGTCTGGATGACCACCGCCTTGCTCCCCACCCTCTCCACTTCCCCTTATCTGAAGATCTGGATCTGCCACTGAAGAGTAAGTGTAGAAGCAGCGCTTTGAATAAAGTTACTGAAAGTTTTCATAAGGCTGAAGCAGCTGAACTCGCTCTCTGGGAAGAAGATTCCGTATCACTTTTGAAATTTACATAAAAACATCAGACGTATATTGCTTCAAATTAATAACAGTTTCAAAATGAGATAACTTCTTGACACTGTGGCTTTCGAACCTAATTTGTTGTTTTTCACTGACTGGCAAAGGTATTCACATACACCATTTTCTAAGCTTTCAATAAAATACTGAGACAAGCTGGGAACCATGAACTTAAAAA